CCCTGCTATAGGTAGTCTTCTTAGATCATAAGCTTAAAGCCCTGCTATAGTGGTCGGTGGATAGTGTCTATTGAAACGAGCAATAAGCTTAAAGCCCCAGATACGATAGCCTAGATTGGGTGACTGAAGGCCCACGAAAAATAGCTCAATCACCACATTCGATAACCCTAAGTATCTATACATGCATAGTATCCCTTAGCTAGGAGGAGGATTAGTTCCCCGAAGTACCTGCTTTTAGCTTTGATCAACCTCTAGACTAGTATTTCCTCGTATCCTCCACTCAAAACCACAATAAACGATTACGTAATTAATAACAAGGTGGGAAGTAGGCTAGGGTACCAAGACCCGAGTAGAATATGACCTTGAATACCACTATACGACAATGCTGTCCTAAGTTAAACTTGGCTTAGGATGGGAGAGTTGTTGATATGAGAAAACCAATGACAATAACATGCACAAATTCAAGTGATAAACCTTTTTGGCGCCATTGCCGGGGAACCTTGGTAACTATTAGAAACCCATTAAGTTATAGTAAGTCTTTATCTTGTTTTTTTTGGTTTGTTTTATTTTTCGCTGTTATTTTTGTTTTTGTCTGTTTTGTATTTTCGCGATTGTTTCTTTTTGTGAATTGTTTTTCACCCACTCTTCTTCCCGAAGGGTGGCTTGTGTGTATTTGATTATTTTTAGTGTTTTTGTTGTTTGTAGTTTGTGAATAATGGATCCATATGGTTGGAACGTGGAGTGGAGAGATCACCTACCGTCGAATTGGTGGTATCTCGAAGTTTATAGTAGCGGGGCTGGCCAATGATTTCATTTTCAAGAACAACAATCTCTCCATGCTTATCAACCGTACCTCCATGATTACCAAGCATCTCACCCATCATACCAAGAACCACCTCCACAACCAATGGTAAAGACCGAGTTCAAGTTGGTCATTGAGCGACTTGAGGCGTATAAGCTTGGAGTTCGAGTTAGAAACACTTATGGCCAGGAGTGGGATTTCACTTCATCATTCACCACCACCTACACCAAAGATCCTTGGAGAGTTAGCATTTGAGCGCTACAACATCTCAAGGGAGTGCCTAGATGCTAGCCACTGAACAATGTTCTGAGAATCCACTCAAACTTGGACCAAAACACTAGAGTTGCAGACGTTGAATTATTTAGGGGGTTTCTTCTTATTCTTATTCTTCAATAATACAAAAATAAAGGATAGTCGCAGAAATCGATCAAACAGATCTGAACTCGTGAGAAGGGCCAGTTGGTATATTAAACCAACCAAACAATCTCGAACCCGTGAATAAGTCCAATCGGCATAGTCGATGTTTGCCACAACTAGAAGTTTCTCTAGTTGATAAGAGACCACTCAATTCTCCCCAATCCCTAAATGAGAGATTAAACAAAAACGTTCACAAAGGAACTTGAATAAACACTCAATGTAATTGATATATGAAATCTGGGATACAAAATTCGTAGCTCTTAAACCCTCTATTTATAGAGGTCATAAAAACATAAATCTAGTATAAAAAGAACAAAAAAAAAATAATTCCAAACTAACTAGGAAACATAATACTAATTAAATATAGACTAAAACTACTAATTAAACTCCTATATAATCCAAAGGCTTTTGGTTTATCAACGCCAACAACTTTTTAAAAAAGAGCGGGAAGGTATGTCTAGGCAACCCTTCCCCAAGTGAGCCAGCTCGGAGTGATCCCACATGGCACGAGCAACTATGCAGTTAAGAAACGTATGCTCCATCATTTCAGGCCCACCCCAACAAACCGAACACCTAGGTAAAACCGCGACTTGTTTTTCGATTAACGCTTTTGTAGTGGGCAATATCCTCTGAAATATCTGCCAAAAAAACACCTTGAATTTAGGGGGAATATCAGCCTCCCACAACTAGATCCAACTTGCTCTATCCATCCAAATAGCCATAGACCTCCACCTGCCTCTCTGCTGGTCAAGAGTAACCGCAAAATGGTATAAAATTTTAACAGTGAATACTCCATCAGAAGTAGCATGCCATACCAAACGATCCTATACATCTTGGCGAGGCAGCGGGATCTCTCTAATTGCTTTGCATGGCATAGGGTCAAACCATTGCCTGAGCTTAGCATCACACCAACGCCTCTCACTAGGTCGGATTACCTCAGCCACCTTCAACTCCAGCCCTTCCGGTAATACACAGGGATTATACCTAGTTGGATGCGGATGCTGATGAGGGATCCAATTAGAGTTAAGTAGGGAGGCCTGTCGGCCATTGCCAATTTGCCAACGTAAACCTGTTACCAAAAGCTCTCGTCCAAAGAGCATACTCTGCCAGCCCCACGAAGGTCTGGACCGAGTCGTAGCAATGAGAAAGGAACCATTAGGGAAATACTTCCCTTTATAAACCTGGGCAAGGAGGGAGCCAGGCTCATTTAAAATTTTCCACCCAATTTGAGCCAAGAGAGCCTGATTAAAATGCTCAAATCGACGGAAACCCATCCCCCCTTCATGCTTACTCCTGCACATATTCCTCCAGGAAACACATCGAATTTTGGACTGGCCCTCCTCAACACCCCACCAAAATCGGGTGACATGCTTATATAAATGGCGACAAAGAGACAGAGGCAATTTGAAGCAAGACATGACATGCAAAGGAAGGGCCAAAGCCACAGACTTTATCAATGTTTCTTTGGACACCCAGGATAGCGTCCCAACCCTGGAGCCTAGCCAAAAATTTCTCCGCTAGATAGGGAAAGGTTATCATTTTTGAACGGGTAATCAGAGATGGGAGACCCAAGTACTTATCCTGGACCCCTACAACACCCACCCCTAAAATCGCCCCCAGGAATTCCTGATCTGCTAGCACAATGTTTTTTGCTAAAATAGACCGCTGATTTATCCAGGTTTACTCGCTGGCCACTGGCTTCTTCATACTCATTCAGAACCTCAAGAAGATTCTCGCATTCCTGGAGAGATCCTCTGAGGAATAAATAAGAATCATCCGCAAAGAACAAATGTGAGATTCGGGGAGCCTTGGGAGCCACCTTAACCCCTTCCAGCTTGCCTTCCGAATGGCTTTCCTAAGCAGGGCAGCAAAGCCCTCCGTGCAAAGCACAAAGAGATGAGGTGAGAGAGGATCCCCTTGGCGGAGTCCCCCTGAAAGGGAGATGAACCCAGACGGGGTGCCATTCAGAGTTAAAACCCATCTTTTCCAAAACTGGCAGAAGGAATGACCATTCGACTCTATCATATGCTTTTTCCATGTCAACCTTCAGAGCCATGTATCCCTTTTTCCACGAGTTTTGATATTAAGATAATACATTAGCTCATGTCCAAGGAGGATATTATCAATGATATGTCTTTCACGGATAAGCGCATTATGACCTTCCAAAATGACTTGGGGCAGTAACCCCGCTAGCCTTTCCACCGTTATTTTTGTTATTACTTTATACACAAACTGGCAAAGACTAATTGGATGGAGTTGTCACATTGTCTCCACTTGCTACACCTCGGGTATAAGGGTAAGCCAAGTGTGATCAAATCTACGAAGCATCCTACTTGTCACATAAAAAGAGCAGAAATCATCAACCACCGAGTCACCTAAAATCCCCCAGAAAGCTTTAAAAAAAATTTCCGTGAATCCATCTGATCCTGGCGCCTGCTTCGAGCCCATGGAGAAGACCGTTTTGCGGACTTCACAAGGGAGGACCTCAGCAGTGAGACTGACATTCATTTATGGGGTAACGCTAGAAGCAATGGGGAGTGCCGCTACCCCCTCAAACATATTTTAAACCTGATTTTCCGAAGTGAAGAGGGTTTGATAGAAGTTAGTGGCTATACCAGCTTTCTCGTGCTCCTCAGTAATCCACTCACCAGCTTCATTACGGAGGCCAGAAACAAAGATCTGCTTACGACGGGCTCTCGTGACCGTGTGAAAGTAGGACGTATTTTTGTCACCCTTTTTCAGCCAATGGACACGAGACTTCTGCTGCCAATAAGCTTCATCTACTTCCCACTATCTATTAAGTTCAGATTCCAGACTGTTAACTTCTTGCCAAATGATAGAATGAATAGACTTTATACGTTCAATTTCAGCTTGCAGAGTGTGGATATTCCGAAGGGAATTAGTGGTACCCGCCCTGCTCCAATCATACAGCAAATGGCAAAGTTTCTTCAATCTCTCCCAAAGTTGGAACATCGGAGTACCATCAATTGTCTCCTACCATACATAAGCCACCATGGCTTTGACTTCTGGGTTCTTAGCCCATCAAGCATCAAAGCGAAACAGAGGGTGACACGTCCTAATATAGGGCCTATCAGAGAGAAGAAGAGCCCGATGGTCCAAACCGTGATCAGTGAAGTGCTTAACAAGAGTCTCTAGATACCGATCAATCCAATTCTGAGAGCACAGAGCTCTATCAAGTCTTTCCCGAATACAAGCCAATCCCATACATCTATTAGTCCAAGTGAAAGGATCGCCCGGGTAACCTGTATCATGTAAACCCAGGTTTTAGACAAAATTCCGAAGACCAACAGATTGGGAAACATACCAAGGGTTACCACCATCCTTTTCATAATCATTAAGGGTAGCATTGAAGTCCTCAATGATCACGAAGGAAGCTGAATCCCCTCACAGATTACGCGCTACTGGGCTAATTGAGTAGCTTGAACGGTGTCATTACAGGTCATATAAACACAAACCACGACATACGAAGAACCACTTTCATTAATTTTGGAAAAAATACAAAAAATAGAGTGAAAAAATACCGAAGCCTCAACCTCGGGGGACTAGGCTACAACTAGACCACCACAACCATTAACGCCATCAACAAAAAAACATTGAGGATAATCAAAACCTAAACCACGCAAACACCGGGAAACTACTCTCCGGCGCGATCTTGTTTCTGAAAAGAAAACAATGTCCGGTTTATTTGAATGAACTAACCCTACAGCAGTTTGGAATGTGAGGGATGGCCCAATTGCTCCCACATTCTAGGCCAGTAGCCTCATTTAACAAGGTGAGGCCACTCCAGGCTGGCTTCCTCCACCGTCTCACATTCATGCAGGTCTTCCACAAACTGTTTCCTACCAGCCGCAGCACCATCATGCAGGTCTTCCAGGCAAGTACCCTCCGCATTCTCCAACAACTCTTTATCCTCATTGATGATCATACCTTCCTCAAAAGCGGAAACCACCTGTCTAACCTGGACAGAGTTAGCTGGATGACCAGAGTCAGCATGAGGCGACCTACATTTGATCATAAACTGATCCTCATCGTTCCCTGAGGGAGAGGTCACTGATGCCTCCCGTACCGCACAATTTTCCACCACGTCGGCAGGCAGCTGCTTGGTGTTCTTGATAGAAGTCGAACTTTTCTTTGAATTGACCCCCATTGAACTATTTGTACCCATCTTCACCAACTTTTTGCCTTTTTTCCGCAGGTTCAACTACACGCCCCTTCATGGGCTGCATGGGGAGTGTTGCCGCTACCAGGTCGTCATCCGAGTCCTCCAAAATTAATCGTCGACGTCAAACCTCAACTTTCGGAAACTTTGTCTTCAAGTTTGTAGCTTCCTTGGGCTCTTCGAGATTCTCAGAGTCCGAATCCAGAAACCCCTCCTCGCTCCCTTCTTGCTTGTGCCACAACATGCTCTCTTGAGCTCCCGTATCCATCCTGGAAGCTTGCTCATTGCGCCGACACGAGACTCGAACTCGGCGAGGGGAATCCACCGGGGAAGCAGCAGCCTGAGGTCATCCCAGAATGATCCTAGGTGATCGTGCTACGTAGAATCCCCGAGGACTCTAGCGGCGAGGTATATTCACTTTCCACGGAGAATTAGCCGCTGCCCCAGCAGGCTGTCGAGGATGATACTACAGAGGGCGGGAATGAGATGGGTTCGGGTCTCCAAACCCCGGCTGCTTTCTAGTGACACCTTTTTTGGTATTTATGGGCTCGCGATAATCCCTATTCACCCACACAGAAGTCGAGCCGCAATGGAAGGACTGGTTGTGATCATCTGTGTCATAGATCCATAAGCCCAACTTCCTAGTCGTCATATGTTGGCCGAAATTCTCTTTGCGATTCGACGGATTAAGGGAGCATGCTCGGTGCGAGTGTCCCACCCGCCCACAGTGGTAGCAAAAACTGCGAAGATGTTCGTATTTGAGATTCACCCATAAACATCAAGTGTCATCATTAGCAGCCATGATCTGTGATCGTAGTGGTTTAGTGAAATCAATCAACGTTTTCACTTTCACAAACCAACGCCCTGTCTCCTGACAAGCAAGCACCCCTGATTCCAATACTTTTCCAACAGTGGTATTCACCACTTTCCAGCCAAATTGCTGCGTGCAGCAATCCTCATTCACATCCCATAATTAAATCCGGAATGGAGGATTTGCAAGGTCATCAAAAAATTCCTTTGTGAAGACAGGAGTCCATGGGCACAGGTGGAGTATCTTGTCGTTGATTACCCATGGAGTCCTTTTGAGGACCCAGATCTTTGCCTCCTCACTTGGAAGCATAAACTCGATCAGGCCGTGCTTGGCCATGACCACCCTGATTTGGCCCTGAATTAGTCAAAGAGCGAACACCGATTCCCGGAGCTCGATATTTTGTTGATTGAACGTCCTCCATCGAGAACTGAACCACCTGGTCAGAAGACACGTAAGCCATTTTACTATTTTGTGGACAAAGAAAATCGGAGTTAAGATGGAAATTGTCCACCGCAGGTGGTGACGGACACGACACGTCCATGCTGGTCGTGACTACGTCAGGTCCGAGATTCAATGGAGAGCAGTTCAAAGAACTCTTTATCATCCGACAATGCATGAACGTAGACGAACAGCCGAGCTCCGGACTAAGTAATCGACGGAGGAGAGGGGAGAAGTGTAAAGTACCTGAGCGAGGGGTGCAGCTGGAAGAATGGATGTCGTCCTTAACTCTCGCTGAAGCCCTTACTCTTATATGAGAACATAATATAGTAATAGGGCTAGGGTTCGGAGCTTTATAGGGTCGACACCTATCGGAACCAGGATTCCCCATAACTCTTGGGGTAAGGGGTTGTAGAGTTAGGCTAGCAAGAGGAGTCTTAGAACGGGAGAAGGGGAAAGTAATATTTTTATGAATAAATCCCAATGTCGTTGAGATGGTATCTTGGGGAAATATTCTCGTAACCACCACCTACCGGCCCGGAGGCTGAGAGAAAGCATCGCCGACAAAACCTCTACGGCCATCGGAAAGAGCACCAGATGAAGAGGCAGCGGGATTTTCTTTCTGAACAACATTTTTTGTTCCAACTCCGGCCAAAAGAGAGAGGGGACATATCCAAGTTGCCGATTTGTGGACATTCCCATTGGACATGTTATTACCCTACTCATCGAGCTTGGGGGATCTATCCAGGTTGCCATTTTGGCCACATTCCTATTGGACAAGTTATAGCCCCCATCATCGAGCTCCAGTTCTTCCATGGAAGGAATTTTGAAAATCCAGACTACCTTTTCTGATAATCGCCTACGTTTCTTTAACTCGAGAGCAACCTCGTTGTTGTTACACCCCGATATCTGGGTTCAGGTTTGACCATATTAAATGAACGGTTTGATCGATGATTACATACGGATAACAAAACCAAACCAAGTTAAGGACGATGGCCTAATTAATTGACGTGGCCCAAATAGATCGTTGCCCGACAGTAGTGTTGCAACATAGATTGAGAGGAATGATACTAGTAATAATAGTTTTATTACTAATATAATGAGTATATAAATATACGCATAAAGCAATTACAAACCCTAAACCAAGTTGTTCCTAGCGGCAGCTGAGAAAGAAGAAGAAGAAAAAAAACAACAACAGCAAATCAATAGAAATCCGTGAAAATTCCCAGTAAACCCTAACGCCAAGCCTAGGAGGAAGAAGAAGTTTGAGGAGAGAGCACAGCAGAAAACGGTTTCAATGACTACTAAACATTGAGAACCCTACATCTCTCTGATGCGCCAACGCTGGCGCCTTAGCGGTTTCGCCGCCGCCTCCCGCTCTAGTTTGTTAGTTTTTCCGGGCGGAATGTGGCTCTCGTGATTTGAATTGAGAGGCCATTCTTTCGGGGCAAACTACCTGCATGGCGTCCGAATTCCAAGCTCGATCATGAAACCTGAGCTCGGCGCCAAAAGCCGCTTGAGGCTCCCAGGGAACCTCCCCGTCCGAAAGCTTATTGGGACCATGTTCTCGAAGAAATGGTCTGGTTGTCAAAGGACTTTGAGTCTGAGCGAAAATGAAAATTAGCACAGGCAAAGAAGGTTGCTTTAAGAGCCAGCAAAGGCATGCTTGATCAGGCTACTGGTGGAGAAAAGAAATTGAAGGAAGAAGAGCATCAGATGCGGGAAGTTGCACTGAATATTTCAAAGGATGTGAAGAAGTTTTGGAGCAAGGTAAGAGGCGTGTGGTTATTATGTTAATGGCATGGTTCTGTTAAGAGTGGGAGTTATTAACTATTACCTTGGTCATCGAGCTTATGAGTGGATTCATAAGATTAATGTTGTAAGTGAATTTAGGTGGTACATGAAAAAGGATTAGTAGCACACGTGGAGGATTTAGGTGGGGCTTGTTACTGGAAGTGGATTTGCTATGGGAAGAAGGATTCACGTGGTGGTATATAAATACCAATCCTATGATTTCTATTAAATCAATTAACACTTCGTAGAGTTGAAATGGGGGATTAAGCTAACAAGGCTTGAAGTGGACCTTGTACAGGAACCACCAAAAAGGGATGTGAATGCATGTATGAGAGGGAGGAATTGGTTTTGGTTGGGTACCCATATTGACCACGTTTTTCAATTATGGGCGGTTGTGGGTGTAGCTAGGCTTTTAGAAGCCATGGTGTGCATCACTGGTGGAGCAACATCCAGCAGGTGGCATCAAATGAAGGAATCTGCGAGCTCTTCAGTGGTGCACGTGTGGATGGCCAGGGAGATTTCGAGAAGCAGCAATGCTTATTGACAATTAGATGTGGTAGCTAATCCGCTTGAAAATAAGGTGAGTGTAAAGGGGGTAAATTCTACGCCTTACGTATTCTTTTAAGTATTATGATTTTAAGTATTTTAGCGAATTGGTTACCGTTGCTTGATTATGTTTATGATTGATTATTTGTGCTTTGCTTGAGCTATGATTTGAGGTGATTTTGTGCTATTTACCTTAAAGCGTTATGTTATGAGTTATTGTTAAAGTTTAAGAAACAAGTTCTTTTTAAGAAGTAACTCACCTTCAAGAAGGTGAAGTCGTTTTTAGTGTTTTTAGTCACTAGCGCCAGTCCGTTGCCATTTGAGATTTTTAGATAGAGCAGCAGTTATGCTCTTTTGAGCTTTGAGACAGAGCATCAGTTATGCTCTTGAGATATTTAAGTTGAGCAGCAGTTATGCTCCTGAGATTTTTAAGATGAGCAGCAGTTATGCTCCTGGGAATCGTGGAAGAAGAGCCTTCCACGATAAGTTGAAGTTTAAGGAAAGCCTTGATGGCTTCTCATATGTATGAGTTGGCAACCAGACTAGCTAGTGAGGGATCCCAGTGTCAGTCAAATATTTAAGTTAAGATTTGAGCTTTAAGAATACAGTTTTAAGAGTTAAAATTTTTAATAATGGAAGTACCAAACAACTTCCACTCAGTTAGGTAAAGTGATCTAGTATTAATAAGATGTTAAACGTAAGGGCATAGACTGACCCCATCTCACTCACCAATTTGAAGAGCTAGAGAAGGAACTAGAGGAGCAGTTAGTGAGCAGCGAGTTCGAAGGCAGCCAGCTAGAGAACGACAGTATAAGCGTCACAGAGGATGCCTAGTTAAGATTTTCAGTAGCAGCAGCGATAGAGATGACTTAGTTATTTACATTTTATGATTATTAGTATAGACTGGAGATCAGATTGAGATTTTAAAGTTTGAGTTTAATTTGACCACGTGTTAGGGCTTTGCTTGGAACTACAAGAGCGTGTTTTCTGTATTTTATTTATGAAAAAATTTCCCGCTGCAATTTAAGATTTGAGTATTTTATTTTTCAAGGGCATTTTAGTAAGAGTAGTACCCGATCGGGTTATGGTGTTACATTTTGGTATCAGATCCGGTCTTCCTCTATTCCTTGGAGACCAAGGAATACTGGACTGTCGGTCTCAGTTTTAAAGGATTTTGTTTTAAGGGAAATGAAAATGAGTCAAGGGTTTCCTTTTCAAAGTATATAGAATCTCCAGTATTCTCTAATCGTATTAAGATAAATAACTTTAGTCCTAATAAATGGTGCGCCAATCGCAAAGGGATATTCCAAGGTATAAGTACGAGGACTCGAAGAAGTTGAAGGAGCACTACGATGATTTTTCTACTTAGCCACTAGCAAACGATCTAATAGGTTAAAATATACAGATAGGAGAACTA